TACTACCACTGCTACTCCTACCTACTCCTACTCCTACTCCTACCCCTACTCCTACTCCTACTCCTACTACTACTACTACTACTACTACTACTACTACTACTACTACTACTACTACCACTGCGACGACGACTACAACCACTACCATGCTGCTGCCTTTGCTACGATCCGTGGCTTCAGGGCAACTGCCTGCCACCTCGCGTGGAAGACTACGTGGATCGGAGCTCGGTCTGAGTCTCAGAGGTCGCATTTCAACTGGAGCGGCTGGGGCCGAGTTGGGACTTCGGAGATTTGTTTTTGTCTGCAAAGGCATACGGAGTCATACTCAGAATCTGCATGATCAAAGAGCATAGCTGCGTAATCCTTCCAACCGCTAGAATGATCGCGTCGCTATAGTACCGATATTCCTGGCGACAGTCATCACGATGGTAGCAGGTTTCTACGATATTCTGCGAGTCTACAACGAGCAGAGTCGCCGTCAGGTCCTATCCGAGATCCTTAGAAACTTTGACTCCAGCGGTGGCCGCTTGCACAGAGAAAGTTTCATTTGCTTCAGGAGACTCATTCAGATTTCTTCGACAGATATAGGGTCGCTCCCACGTGCAGTTGGGTAGGTTGTGATCTCTTCTCCCGATCACGATTCACAAATTTCCACGCGATATTGGCATTGCTGCTGAGCTTTGCGGTTAGAGTGCGGTGAGCGGCTTTTGACACCTGGCAAAGACACAGCAGATTGGGGATCCACCTTGTACGTAACAAGCCTTCTGAGGCTTCGTCGCTACATGTTCTGTGCCAACCCCGATGTTTCCCAATGAACGCTGCATGCTGCATAGATGTCCAAGGCCTCAGTCCCCCTAAACCCTCAAACCTTTTGCGATTTGATCAGGGCAGCGTCCTCGCAGAGCTTGTGTCCTCTCCGGACCCGAAGGGATCGGAAAGACAGTGGCTGCAACTTGTCTTACCGAGGTGTACATGTTTTGTCTGATACGAACGTGGACTTGCAGACTGTTGTATCTCTGGAGCTGAAATTGGGCTGGAGTAGATAGAGGCTTTTCCTGAGACATAGCCAGGTTCCAACTGGCACATATATCCGACATGTTCTCGCTCAACCGAAGGCATTAATGAAAGACCTCCAAGTTATATGTGTGTACATATACACATTTGGATGAAAAAATGTATTCGTGTATGTATGTATGTATGTATGTATGTATGTATGTATGTATGTATGTATTTCCGTATAATGCATGTATGCATGTAAGTATTTATGTATGTATGTAAGTACGTATGTATGCATGTATGTATGCATGTATGTATGTATGTATGTATGTATGTATGCATGCACAGATATATATATATATATACACATATGTATGTGTGTATACATGTATGTGTGTTTGCATATATGTATGTATATATACACATCTATGTATACATATATATATTTACTTATTTATTTATTTGTATACATTTGCATCAAAGAATGTACGTATGTGTGTATGTATGTATGTATGTATGTATGTATGTGTATGTGTGTATGTATGTATTTATGTATCTATGTATGTATTTATGTATGTACGTACGTATGTATGTATATATGCATGTATGTGTGTATATATATATATATGTATGCATGTATGTGTGTTGGTTTACATATGTATACATATATGTATATAGATGGTCTAGATATATGTATAAACATAGGTATACATACTTTTTTAGACATAAGGATAGATGTTAGCAAACATATGCACATACATGCTCATGCATGCATACACACAGTGTTACTCTAAACAGTCATCACTCCTCAGCGAACGAAGGCGATCGAGCTGGCCCATTTCGCCTCCTCTCCTGGCCGCCTCTTCTCCAGGCGAATTGACATCTCGGAGTGTCCGCCTAGGATTTCGGTGGAGAGGGATTATATGTATGTATGTATGTATGTATGTATGTATGTATGTATGTATGTATGTATATATATATATATATATATAGATGTGTGTATATATATATATATGTACAGAAGCAACTACATATAGAGAGAGAGTACATCGTCACGTTCGAGATATACATGTAAATAGACATAAATATACATACATATATATATATATGACCATGTGTATATGTATGCATCAATGTCTGTGTAAGGCAGGTAGGTCTTGAAGAACACACGGAGGAACAGTCAGGAGGAGGATTCGGGTCTAGCACGTTTTCTGGCACGTGGATCTGGTCATGCTGCCTGCGAGCCGACAGGAACGTCCTGTACGTTCCCATTGACGGCACGCCAGACATAGCAAATGTAGTTCAAGGCCGGGAGGGAATCAGGGATCCAGGGACTCCAATATCTCTCAACCAATCAATGGGTCCGCAAGAAGGAACGACTCTAGGTTGAGGTGCATTGGAGTCTCGGAGGATGCTTTGATGCCGCTATTCGGAGACCAAGGAGCAGAGTTGCGATATGTGGAATGTGTGGGGCTGGGTTTTGGACGTCGTTGGGGTGACATGCCAGGTATCCTTGTTATCATCGCTGAAAGTTTCCCCTGAACCCTAAACCTTGAACCCTATCAACCCCCAGACCCCTCACCCCTGTCAGCCCTGAACTCCCAAACCCTAAACCTGGACCCTTAGGCCCCTCCGAACGCTTTTTGCTGAGCTGTGCCTTGCCAGGCATTTCTCAGTCTTTAGCAACACGAAGGCCGCCAGTGCTTTCGAGCGCCTCCCGGAATCAAAAGGACGCTTGGATTTATAAGTAGACCTAGTTATACTACGAGTCGAAATCGTAGCAACAATATGTTAGTATTACTTTTATATACAAGTCATCGCAACAAGAATAATAGCAGTAGTTTTAATAAATGTTTTCATTAATGTTTCTCAGTTTGTTTTGTATAGCTGTACCATAGCAGTTCGCTTCTGCATCCAGTTCGCCCGTTTCGTCCGGCTTTTGAGATGACCAGAAGCCTGACAAACCCAAGGAGGAAGGAGCCCGAAGCAGCGAAAAAAACCCAAATCCTAAACCCCAAACCCTCAACCCCCAAACCCTACACCCCAAACCCTAAACCCCAAACCCTCAACCCCAAACCCCAAACCCTCAACCCCAAACCCCAAACCCTAAACCCCTGCACCCCAAACCCATAACCCCTAACCCCAAACCCTCAAACCCCAAACCCCAAGCCCTAAACCCCAAAACCCCTTCCGGCAAGAGGCCTCGCACCATCCTGTGCCCCGACTCCCAGAAACCTCAGAACTCGGTATTTCCAAAAGCGGAGAAGCAGATGGGTTCAGGGTTTACCTATAGTCTCCATTGTAGTTCTTTTTTTGGGGGATACCTTATAAAATCCTTAATATGTAATTGGTTAAACCAGAAAAAGGAACTAGAATGGAGACTAGAGGTATAAATTATAGGGTTCTTTCTGACAAGCTGAGAAGCAGATTGTAAGCTCCTCCGAGGACATCCTCCAAGCACTGCACCACTTGGACCATACAAGGCTCCACTGTGGCTTCCACACCCGCGGCCTTCGGTGCCCGTACCAGTAGCTTAAGCATTTAGTGATTCAGGAGTCGGGGGTTTGCAGGCTTCTGTTTGAGGTTTACCAGTTTTCTGGCTTAAGCGCTAGATTTCACCCGGATTTGGTGTCCGGGGGTCTCGGGATCAGGCCGATTCGGAAAAGACAGGGGGAGCGTTTCAGAAAACCAGCCGCGTTCGTGCTGATGCCACCCACGATCGCGTTTTGGGGTGTAGGGGGATTCATAAGGGTTTGCCAGCCAATATCTTCATTTGTTTTCCGAATCCTTCCTCACCCAGCTGTCCAAAACAAGCGCAAACCACATACCCGTGCATCCAAAAAGGGCCCTTAAACCCTACTACTACTACTACTACTACTACTACTACTACTACCCAATCCCGCATCCAGAACCTTCAAGTTCAAAGTTCGCAGCCCCGAGCTCAAGTCGAATTGCAGCCTCAAATTCCGGAATCCAACGCCCCAAGCCTCGTGAAGGCTTTGTAATATAGGGGCTTTGATAATGACCTATACTATTTTGCGGGTTCCTTCTTGTAACTATAGTATAATACACCCCAAAACGCTATTCTAATTATCAAGGCCCCTACCTTAAAGAACTTTACGAAGCCCAGCCTTGCGTCAGGGGTCGACATCTGCTGCTCCTGGATGACCGTTGCGGAGCTGTGGGGGCGAGCTCTGAAGTTCGAAGCCTACTGAGACTTCGGCAAAGTCGGGTTGAGGTATGGAGGGCTTGGCTTGCCTAACCCCAAACTACCTACCGTTTGAAGAGACTTATATAAGCAAAAGCAGAATATTTAACCAAGAAAAGGCAGGTGCTAATGGGCTGAGGAGGTAGGGTTTACAGTAGGAGCTCAAGCATTTAGGCGTGTACGGTTGAGGGTTTTGGGGGCCCGGAATGAGGGTTTAGGGTGCAGGGGTTTACGTCAGGGATTTTAGGGTAGAGAATGGGAAGTATCGAAACTGCACCGTCAACCCAAGCCCGAAACCTTCCAAAACCCCGAAGGCAAGCCAACAAGCCCAGAACCGTAGCACAAGGGGTTTGACTAGTCACAAAAGTCCCCCCCCTTGTCGTGCCCGCATGGCTCCATAATATACTCCCAAACAAAATCCTATACGGTTAGTAAGGCCGATATGTTAAACCCTCCCCGCAAACCTTCGGGCCGAACCCCAGCAAAAGATCCTGACGCCTCTCAACCTTGAAGCACGAACCCTGATTTTTCCGGATTTTTTAAAACAAATTGTTTTAAAACAATCTGATTTTTCCGGATTTGCAGAGGTCCAAGTCAGATTGGGAAGGTGGTCTCAAACCCCCCTTGCTAGCCTCGGAGTCACGTTGTGTCTTGCGGTGAGAAGTGCCCATTGCCTAAGGAGTAACATGCTGGAGGCGGTGGCAAAGCTGCAAGAGGAGGGTCCAGGAATAGCCATCGAAGCGATTGCAAGTGAAGCTTCGACTGTCAACCTCACTGGCAGCTGGTAGCTGTTTCGGTGCAGTACTGCGCAAGCAGGGATGAGGTCGATATGCATAGACATGCATGAGCCGTGACTTCGGATTTGAAGTGCCGGTGCTGGTGCTGGTGCCGGCGGTGCCGGTGGCGGTGCTTGCTACTCTTGTTGTTGTTGTTGTTGTTGTTGTTGTTCTCGCTGCTGCTACTGTTGTGATTATTCTCGCCGTCGCTGCCGCTGTTATCATTGATTCTTGCCTGTACCGAAAGCTGCCTCTATCGGTTAGCCTTCCTGAGGCCAAGAATTTGAGCGCTTCGACTGCAGTTATGAGATTTCAATCATTTCAAGAGATTTCTCCTTCTTGGGACAGGCTCAGTGGTGTTTTGGTTGTCTTCTTGTTTCAAGTCTCCAGAGCCTGTTAAATAGACTAGAACTTGGCTGCGCCAACCTTGCTTCTGGACCTAAGGTCTAGTTGTGTGCTCGCGAGAACAGATGTACGAGTCGTTGGGACCGTGCAAATGCGTCAATGTGCCAATGGTGAGGGCCTCGGGATTGCGAACAAGTTGTCTTGATGTTCAACATCATCTCAAAGCATCTTGCTCAATTGCCATGTTTCGCTGCCTGTGCCCTGCTCCCAGGTAGCATTGACTGCTGTACAGCCTCGCACTCAGCGTTAGCAGTGAAGTGTTTCTCAAGTTGAACATGACTGAACAGACGAGCTCAGGTCTGCGCAACTTTTCTTGAAGCGCATGCACCGGCCCCTTAGACCCTGCGACTTTGAGCAGAACGCAAGCACGCAGATAGCGCTTGCGAGGAGCGAGGAGATTCTTACGAGGCTGGCACAGCATCCATTGCTAGTCCAGCTCGCGGGTAATCCAGGGCAGGTGGATGCCATCTGCCAGAGGGTCACTCCACAGCTGCGGTCCTTGTTCGATCTTTGCGGCGTGAGGGCAGCTCGAGCTATGTCGCTTGACGAGAGCATCGCGAGCCATGTCTCCGTCCTTGTGCCGCAGGAGAAGACCATCGAGCCTCTGCAGCTTACACGGAAAATGTCCATCGATGGTGCGGTTGGAGAACTCTTGCCGAAAGCGATGTCGATGGATGGACCTGCCCTGGCCCGTGCAATGTCCATAGACGAGACTCAGGCCACAGACAACGGTATCGACCATTTCTAGGTGTCAGCACCGATCCACAGCACAGTACATCGTCGACATAGAGCCGTACAGCCCGGGTTACACATTGCTGCAAGGCTTGATATTTCTTAACATTGATTGGCTGACACCTGTCGCAAGAATTCGATTACCATGTTGGCATTTTGCCGGATGCATTTACCTGCTAAAGGAAAGATGTCTAAAGCTGGCAGTGACTTCGTACGAGATACCTGGCTCGTTCATTGATTCTAGGCTTACACGATCTATCCATCGTAGAAACTTGACCAGCCTCCAATCGACAGAGTTCTGGAATTGAAAGCCGCTGTCATGCAAACAGGGGCAAATGCAAACTACGTGCCCTGCAAAGTCTTTCCAGCAGGAAGTTTTCATTGCACCCGTGTTTTTGGTGAAGAGAGACGAACCTCGCACAACTTGAGTGATTCTGCACTTCACTTGCACAGCCCGCAACGAGAACGGGAACTTGAAACCACTGTGACAATGTGGTTGTTCCTCAGCCACTGTCGCAACGGTGTGTGATTATCTTGGACTTGACTATTGCTATAGTGGCGCCCTAGGCAGCTCAGCAAATACCAAGAAAAAGTGCTTGCCCGCCTTGTGCAGTAGCGACAAGATCAGAGTGAAGAGGAATGCATACTTGGCGGAGATCCAGCTGCGTCATGGCTGCTTTCAATGTTGACGTAGCAAGGTGCCTCCTGAGCAGCTAATCTTCCTCAGATGGCCAGCTGAGCAGGAGCCGCGGTGACTAGGTTTGGCAAGACTCTCAAATCTTCAGTCTTGCATATAGTCCCTATAAACCCTAAACCCTAAATGCTAAACATAGACTGTCCAGCCCTCAGTCCGCCACCTTCATCTCCCTACACTCCACATCGGCCCATGCCCTGTCTGAGACAAACTGGCACGGAAGCCGTAAACCTTGAGCCCTAAAACCCTGAAATCCTGAAATCCTAAACCCCTAAACCCCCGAACCCCTTAGACCGGCCCTAAAACGCTAAATCCGTAAAGCACATGGCCGCTGCAGGATGTTCACCAGCTGGTCCCGAGCGGAGCTACGGCACCGAAAACAGCCGTGCAGCGCAAGAACCTCGATTTCCGGCTTTGCGGTTTTGAGCGTCAAGGCTTTATGGTTGCTGGGGCTTTCGGCTTGAGGGGTTTACGGTATCTGAGAGCGTACATCGGACTCGGTGTTTTTGGGGATGGGGGGGGAAGTGGGGGATGCCGCGCTGGTTTCAAAAAGCAGTCGCTGCATGATTCGTGATTGCAAACAATCATAACAGTGCCACTATCGCTAAGATTATCGTTGTCGTTACAATGATCCATACCATGAAACCACTTTCAGTGTCGTTGCCACCACCACTATCAGCACAATTTTTAGTCTCACTGGTCATTAACACTGCTATTGCCCTTATTGTTGCTATGCTGTTATGCTAACTAGCTTTACTCTTATTCCTATCCTGGGCATGTACATACCCAGGGCTGGAGCAATTGGTCCCATCCGACGGCTCCTCAGCGACGGAGGACTCAGGTGCAACAAAAAGGGGTCTGCCATAAAGGGTCCCAAAGGGGTACTATCAAGGTAGGTTCAGGGGTTTGGGGGACCAGGGCTTTGGGAGTTCGGGCTTTGGAGCTTTGGGGTTTGGGATTTAGTAGGGTGTTCGAGATTCAGGTGCAAGGAGGGCCTTCTGTCCGGTCGGCGCAGAGTTGTCTGGGCTAGTTCTTTGTTTGGTGAATCTATAGGGGTTCAGGGTTTCAGGGTCTGGAGTCAGATGGCTTACAGGGGCTTAGGACTTCATTCATGATAATGACTTGGGTTTTGAGGGTTAGGGATGCAAGCTTTCGATGCTCGAGACATTGACATTCACGAAAGGGCTTATGATCATGGTGCTGATGCTACTTTGAAGCCTTGACTTGAGACCTACAGAGTCTGGTGGGCACCGTAACATCGACCCCTGACGCCCCCTCCATCTATGATAGCGATGGTCATCATTATCGCAACGACGTTACCAGTAAGATCCTTGATTCGAAGTTTCTAGGTTGGGAGTTCATAGGGTTTGGGGATTTTGGTTTTGGTTTCAGGGTTTACGCCTCGGACAGTGACTTTGCAGCTGCTTTTTGGTCTCCCTCGCCTTCCGTTGCCTTGGCCTCCAACCCTTCTGTCCTCTTGGAGCGCATGCAACACGTAAACACGAAATCTCACATCGGCCTAAACCCCAAACCTCAAATCTCCGAATCCTAGTTAGGAGCCCTAAACCCTAAACGCCAAACCGCAACTCCAAGGAGAAGGCTAGCTAACCCCAAGCCCTATTCACCAATCCCCAACCCCAAACCTCTGAGCCTAACCCCCCAGGTACCTACTATTATAGGGCACTAGAGCCCCTAAGGCCCTATATAGTAGGTACCTGGGGGTTCGGGTGAGCCCATGCATCGTCAAAAGATCCCGAGCACCAGGCTCCGCACCCTTCCATAGCTGTCTTGTCAGTATTGTTCTCGCTGTTGTTATCCTCATCGTTAGTGTTCTCATTGGCACTGTTCTCATTGTCAGCATCCTAGTATCCTCACTGTTATTATTCTCATTGGCAGTCTTCTCATGGTTATTGTTCTTAGTCTTGTTGCCCTCCTTGGGTTTATCCTGGTTGTGATGTTTATCCTCATTGGTATTGGTCTTGCTTATTCTCCTTGTGCTGGCAGGTGGCATTTGCCTTCCTTCCTGGCAGGTTCCTCACTTTCTCAGAGAGCTTTCGGTGATGTCGGATTTCAGGTGTGGGGCATTTTTTTGTCTTCCACGATTTAGCGGTGTTGGATGATGGTCTAAGGGCGTTCAGGGGTTGCAGCGTGTAGGAGTGGAGGGTGCCGCTTTGCTTACCCTGACAAGGCTGGGTTGTCTTCTTCGGAACCCGGGGAGTTTCCAGATGTTGGTATCAATCAAGGATGATTGGGAATTCTCAATGCTCGGTATGAATATTGGGGACTTCGGATCTTATTGTTCTTATTGTTAGGGTGTTAAAAGTTGCTGCTGCAGGTTTGGGATGAGAGTTCGAGGTGGAAGTCCGCTATGGACTATGAACTGTGGGGCTTCGCCGGGTAACGAAGAGAGTGAGAAACAAGCCGCCCGTTGCACCAGGGACCGGATATGCCTGCTAGATATGGATGTCAGCGACTCAGCAAGTTCGGATCAACTCTGGGTAGCTCGTCGACATACCAGCAACAGGAGGCTCTTGCAAGACTCCTCGTCAGTCGCATGTCATGTCGCATTGTCCAGAACCTTCCATGCGGATCTCCATTCGGAGCCGTCATAAATTTAAGGGAGCCGAAAGTCTAGTGCAGCATTCCACCTTTCGGACATGCTTGGAACAGATAGTCCCTAGAGGCCTCGGGAGATTGTACCCCATCTACCGTGACCCATCTAGAGCCCGGGTGTTGAAGCTGCCATCATGGGACATACTGTAGCCCCAAAGCTCGAGCAGCGACACGATGAGTTTCCTGACGCCCTCTGCCCTCTGAACTGCTGCGTGTTCCCCCTTCTCTTCGCTTCGATGTCTCGATGTCTTGCTGCTCTCCTAACCCGAGAATGCCCTCGATGCAGGAAAGTAGAGATAGGAACTGAACCATGCCGGGGGGTGACCGCAGACAGTCCCGATAAGCTTAGAGCAGAAGGCCCGGAGATCAAAGGTTTCCAGAGGGCCTGAGGACCCTTCCCCAGAAGAGTGGCATGTTTATCTCGATGCGCAGCCACAGATCCAAATGTCTGGCGAGATCTGATCTCCGAGGCCGAGGATGTCCTCCAGCCAGACGACGTGGCAAAATTCGACGCCTTCGTCACCGCCTCGCAGGGGCTTGGTGTTCGGGTGAGGAGGCTTTGAGATTGGGGCCTCGGCTACATGCAAGCCAGGCATAGCCGCACATTGGCTTCGATATCTGGGTTCGAGTCCACCCCAAAATCGGAAACGCCGAAGCTTGCGCCCTTCGTCAACTCGGATTTACAAGGCTGCAGGGTCTTTTTGCAGGAAGACTTCCGATTCGAGAGACAACGCCTGGTGCACTCGGGCTTACGCCCTTGGGCAGCATCTGACTGCAGTCGACATACATATGAGTGAGCTGCGTCCGAAACTCCCACTTACCAACACCCGGCAAAAGAGCTGTACGATAGTTATAATGGCGCTGTTTTTCGGAGCATGTCCAGTATCTCAGGTGTTTGGTGGCATTCTTGGGAACGTGATTGAGAATGACGATGGTTCGTACGGCAGCGACGACCGTACGTCGGAAATCCGCCGGGCGCACAGAAGAGCAAGGACGACTCTTTTCGAAATATGTGTATGAGCACGGGTATACGTTATGTATGCAAATACAGGTATACATGATATACATGCACAGCTAGATAGATAGACAGATGGATAGACAGATAGACAGATAGATACGGTACATATATTAACAGCTACTCATGTATATGTATATACATGTTTATATGTGTATACATGTCTGTATATTCACATGTGTATATACATATATAGGTTACACTCACACACACACACACGTCGTGCATGCATGCCCACAGTGGTTCAGATACTGCACGGGTTTCTGACGATGTCTCCCGTCATGAGGCGCTTTCGGCATGACATCCGGAGAATTCGAAGCCTCTGCGGGCTCAGCGTTTAGGATTTTTTGTAGGCTTACGGGTTTGGTGAGTCTTCTCAGGTTCCTACTTCAAGCATCGCCGGCCGGAGCCCTGCTGGCTTGGTGCTTTCAGAGGGGTTTTAGGGTTTAGGGGAACTTCACTACAGTACAAGAGTCCCTGGGCTCTTGTGGGAGTTGTGAGGACCATGTCACAGATTGTCTCCCCACAGAGCCGTCAATTTCAGTTCGGTGCGTTGAAGGCATCTGGGGCCCATGCAGATGACCACGGATACCGCAGTGCTCGTGTCGCAGAAGGCAGCGTCAAGTTCGAATTTAGGATGCAGATTTGCTGCAAGGCCTGAATCGCATTACTGATGTCTTTGCCGCAGGTCCTTGAACGTGCTTGCCCACTGGCGGAGATACCGTTTCTGGACTCACCAGAGTTCCAGCGCGCAGCCGAGGGCGAAGGCACCGGCCACCTGAAAGAAGCCAATGTTTCTACTGAATTTCGTGTGTTAGTTACTGAGCTGTTTTAGTGTACTCTTCTTTTGCCGCCATACGCTAGCCGTTATCGAGAATCTAACACAGTCTGAGTTCAGTTTGGGGCAAAAAGGTGCGACGGAAATCGCAGGACCTGCTGCATCCGACTCGGTCTGCATGGAGGTTTGGGAGCCGGCTGCATGCATTTGTGCAAGACTCTGCGTGTGTCTGTGTGTGTGTGTGCGCATGTGCATGTGCATGTATATGTGTTTGCTTGTTTGCTTGTGTTTTTGTTTGTTTGTTTGTTTGTTTGTCTGTGTTTTTGTGGGTTTGTGTGTGTGTGTGTTTGGTTCGAGCATTTGTGTGCATTTCTGTATGTATGTATGCATGCATGTATGTACGAATGTATGTATGTATGTACGTATGGTTTGTTTGTGGGAGATGTGTATGTGTGCATGTATGTACGTATGCATGCATGTATGTGTGTAGGTATGTGGATATGTTTGTATGTATGAATGCATGCTTGCATGTGCATGTACATTTGGTATTCAGACACTCACGCAAACGCACATATCTATCTATATACCCACAGATATGTGTTTACGTGTGTATACAAGCCCATCTGCAGAATACATACACAAGCACGTGCACAGACCCATGCAGCTACGTATACATGCACTTTGTTTCGTGTGTACGTATGTATGTATGTATGTATGTATGTATGTATGTAGGTATGTACGTATGTATGTATGTATGTATGTATGTATGTATGTATGTGTACAAAAATATGTATGTAGACACAGACAGCCAGGGACAGAGAGAGCGACAGCCTGACAGAAGTGCAGTAGTCCATACTAGTACGTGCAAATAAAGTGTAGCCATTTACTGACGTCAAAGCTATACACAAACCGACTGACGATACATCAGCAATTGAAAAATCGCACATCGTTAGTTGTTCACATGTCTGAACATGTGCTTGAGTGAGTGAGTGAGTGAGTGAGTGAGTGAGTGAGTGAGTGAGTGAGTGAGTGAGTGAGTCAGTGAGTGAAACTATGTCGGTATGCGCTGTGTTGGCTGTCTTTGGGTGTATCAGTGGCTCCTATCCGATCCTATCCAGACGAGTTGCACCCTGAGCCCCTGCTGAAAGCGCGCAGGGCTTCAGATACGTGGCACGCCGGGATGCAACCGGCGAGTGGGAGCCTACACTTCCCGAGGTTCCATCCTGTGGTTTGGGTTTAGGGTGGCGAAACATTTCAACTTTGAGCTACAGTGGTCGCTTTCCGACTGCTACCGACGATTGAGTGCTTGTAAATCGCATTCCCGCGCTATGACCATTCTTTGCGCCTGGCCTAGACATATCCGAACATGCACCAAATCAAAACGCTTCATCTCGAAGGGTTGCCTAACTTTCCGTGCGGATTAGTTTAGAGCATATGGAAGCGGGCGACGGCCCTCGGAAGCCCAGCAGATAGGTTTCGAGGGCGCTTTGCAGAGCAACGGTTGAGCAAATATCAAAGCCAATGCTTTCAAGCAGAAATGATATCACATCAATCGTGAGTGGGTTGTCTTCTACATGTTCCTGGTCGTTTTGCCCTTGGAAATCTGCACCTGGTGCCTCCGGTTCCGAGAAAGCCCACTCTACCCTGCAGGGCATGAAGGAGCTGCTGTTAGCTGATGCTGACAACGATATCTTGAGCTCTCTGCAATGAGAAAGGCCCGTCTGCGCCAGGATCAGCATAGTGCCTGACACCTCCGGTCGAGCACTGTCTGGACATGTCTGTGTTAACTGTGCTGCATGTTTGTTTGACTGCTGTTGCTCAGAGGAATCATAGTGGCATAGTGCATTCGACCATGGCGCACCGCGCCGGCAACGATAACTATGCTCGC